GGACACTGGACCAGCCTGGGATACTGAATCAGCAAGGGACACTGGACCATCCTGGGACACTGTACCAGCATGGGACACTGGACCAACATGAGACACTGGACCAGCATGGGACACTGGACCAGCCTGGGACACTGAACCAATTTATGTTGAGGTGTGAAGTGTCAGGACTGTAGGAGAGTGAGAAGCCAAGGATAACCAGAATTGTGACCAGTACACCCTGGCAGTTGTGCAGTACTGTGACCAGTACACCCTGGCAGTGGTGCAGTACTGTGACCAGTACACCCTGGCAGTGGTGCAGCGCTGTGACCAGTACACCCTGGCAGTGGTGCAGTACTGTGACCAGTACACCCTGGCAGTGGTGCAGTACTGTGACCAGTACACCCTGGCAGTGGTGCAGTGCTGTGACCAGTACACCCTGGCAGTGGTGCAGTACTGTGACCAGTACACCCTGACAGTGGTGCAGTAAATGTGACCAGTCAAACACCCTGCAGTGGTGTAGTACTGTGACCAGTACACCCTGACAGTTGTGCAGTACTGTGGCCAGTACACCCTGACAGTTGTGCAGTACTGTGACCAGTACACCCTGGCAGTGGTGCAGTACTGTGACCAGTACACCCTGGCAGTGGTACAGTACTGTGACCAGTACGCCCTGGCAGTGGTGCAGTACTGTGACCAGTACACCCTGGCAGTTGTGCAGTACTGTGCCAGTACACCCTGACAGTGGTGCAGTACTGTGACCAGTACACCCTGACAGTGGTGCAGTACTGTGACCAGTACACCCTGACAGTTGTGCAGTACTGTGACCAGTACAACCCTGCAGTTTATGCAGTACTGTGGACCAGTACACCCTGACAGTTTGTGCAGTACTGTGACCAGTACAACCCTGGCAGTGGTGCAGTGACTGTGACCAGTACACCCTGGCAGTGGTGCAGTACTTAGTGACCATGTAACCCCGGCAGTTGGATGGTACTGGGGGTGCATGGAGTGTGGTGCAAGTACTGTGTTGTAGCATGGCGTGGTGCGTAATGGTGACCATTAAAAAAGCCAGGCAGTGAGAGAGTACTGTAGACCAGACAACCCGGAGGTGAGTAGAGGCCAGATACAGACAGGAGTGGTAGAGAAGTAGAGACAGAGAGAAGACCGGAGAGAGAGAGAGGGAGGGCCAGACAAACAGATGGCAGTAGGTGAAGATGCTGTGACCAGACACCCTGAACAGTGACAGTAGTGACCAGTAACCGGAGAGAGAGTGCGAGAGACCAGACACGCTACATGGTGGCAGTACTGTGACAAGTACCCAACCCTGGCCATGTGCCAGTACTTTGACCAGACACCTGCGTGGCAGTCCTTCTGCCCTAACAGCGCTGGCAGGTGCTGGTAAAGTATGGTGGCGGAGTTCAGACAACCTGGCAAGTGCGCCCCCGCGCTGACTGCCCATGTACCAACCTAATGGTTTCACTACTGTGATTAAATTTGAGCTTTGTGAACCTGAGAGGAGTTTGTGGTGTGGTGGGGTGGTGCGAGAGGTGATGATGGTGTTGGAGGGTGGTGGTGTGGTGCGATAGTGTGGTGGGAGCGATGGTGTGTTGAGGGTAATGGTGGTAATACGGGATTCTGGAAAAGAGAGAGAGAGAGAGTTGGAGAGGATGAGAGAGAGAGAGAGAGGGGAGGAGAGAGAGAGAGAGAAGAGAGAGAGAGAGAGGAGAGAGAGAGAGAGAGAGAGAGAGAGAGAGAGAGGAGAGAGAGAGAGAGAGAGAGAGAGAGGAGAGGAGAGAGAGAGAGAGAGAGAGAGAGAGAGAGAGAGAGAGAGAGCCTGACGCTACATAAGAAGGTTTTCGTAGAAGCATACAAGGGGTTAAAGAAAGTAGCTCTCTAAGCCTCCAGCTCTCTGCTCCAGCTCTTTGATTCCTGCCGACTCTTTGCGTGGCTCTCATCTGCATAATAGCGGTAGTTACGAGGTGCGGGATAAAGTATAGTGTGGGCGGAGTGTTGGTCAGAGCGGAGATGATGCTGGCTGACAGATGCAGCCTCACTCATGACTCCTGACTGCCTCAGTGTACCAAGCTAAATGTTCCACTTCTGTGATTCAATTAGAGGCGTTAGTGAAGTGAGAGGTGAGCAATGGTGGTGTTGGAGAGGTGATGGTGGTGTTGGAGAGGTGATGATGGTGTTGGAGAGGTGATGGTGGTGCTGGAGAGCTGATCGTGTTGTTGGAGATGTGATGGTAGTGTTCGAGAGGTAATGGTGATGTTAGAGAGGTGATGGTAGTGGAGAGATGGAGTGTTGAGAGTATGGGATGTTAGAGAGGTGATGATGGTGTTGGAGAGGTAATGGTGATGTTAGAGAGGTGATGGTAGTGTTGGAGAGATGATGGTAGTGTTGGAGAGGTAATGGTGATGTTAGAGAGGTGATGATGGTGTTGGAGAGGTGATGGTGGTGATGGAGAGCGGATGGTGGTGTTGGAGAGATGAGGGTGGTGTTGGAGAGGTGATGATAGTGTTGGAGAGGTGATGATAGTGTTGGAGAGGTGATGATAGTGCTGGGGATACATCATCTAGAAACAACACACACAAAAGAACAAAGAAAGTCATCTCACTCTAGTAACAGAACCCTGAAGCTCTGGAGAACCTCGGTGTTCTCTCAGGTCCTGAGACGACCATGAAGGTGTCATCCAAGGGTGAACCACAGGTGCTGCTGCTGCTGCTGCTGCTTCACCTTTGTAGCAACACAGGTGAGAGAGATAGTGGCTCACCTCTAGTAATGAGTTAGATCACCTGTCTCTTATCTCTCAATGACTCTCTCACGTCCTGTTAATGTTCAATACACGACCACTGTGCCTGCCACCTGGGTCACACGACCACTGTGCCTGCCACCTGGGTCACACGACCACTGTGCCTGCCACCTGGGTCACACGACCACTGTGCCTGCCACCTGGGTCACACGACCACTGTGCCTGCCACCTGGGTCACAGGACCACTGTGCCTGCCACCTGGGTCACACGACCACTGTGCCTGCCACCTGGGTCACACGACCACTGTGCCTGGCACCTGGGTCACAGGACCACTGTGCCTGCCACCTGGGTCACACGACCACTGTGCCTGCCACCTTGGTCACACGACCACTGTGCCTGCCACCTGGGTCACAGGACCACTGTGCCTGCCACCTGGGTCACAGGGCCACTGTGCCTGCCACCCGGGTCACAGGACCACTGTGTCTACCACCCGAGTCACACGACCACTGTGCCTGCCACCCGAGTCACACGACCACTGTGTCTGCTACCCGGGTCACAGGACCACTGTGTCTGCCACCCGGGTCACACGACCACTGTGTCTACCACCCGGGTCACACGACCACTGTGTCTACCACCCGGGTCACACGACCACTGTGTCTGTCATCCGGGTCACACGACCACTGTGTCTGCCACCCGGAACACACGACCACGGTGTCTGCCACCCGGGTCACATGACCACTGTCTGCCACCCGGGTCACACGACCACGGTGTCTGGCACCCGGGTCTACACATATGTACTGTATGTACACATGTATACCACATTGGTGCACACAAACTAGTGAGAGAGTGTAGACACACTCACACACACACACACGTTTATATATACATACCTCTCAGTGTATATACACTAATAGTTTACATTAATCACTATTTTAGGTATTAAAATATTCTTGGCCGGTGGTGAACAGGTGACCTGCAGCTTCACTGACCCTCGTGTAGTAGATAGGCTTTAAACCCCATTAACGTGATTAATCAGAGGTCAGAGTTTAACTAATAAGTAATTTGAGATAGAGAGAGAGAGCAAGTAATTTCGCAGGATTCTTCTATGTAATATCGCAAAGTTCCTCTAAGTAATATCTAGGACGTCTCTCAGCCTGAACCTAAGCTTCAGAAAGCTTCTCAGATCTCATTAATATCTTGACAGTCTCTTAGTAATATCCTGACAGCCTCTCACTAATATCCTGACAGCTTCTCGGCTCTAAGCTTGAGACAGCGTCTCAGACTCTGAATATAAACTCTACGGGATCAACACTCCAACATTCACTTTACCTTCTGTACTTCCCTCCGTCTTATAGACACGGTACACTGTAACACCTCACAAATGTTACAAGTATTACAGATGTTACTAACTGGCTGCTATGCACTCACAGTTCTCATGTATATTTTTTGTTTTATATAGACAAAATTTGTTCTATGTATAATAGAAGCAGGTTCCAGGTACTATAGAATATCTGTGAGAACTACAGCAGTAGGTGCACTGGAGTGCACAGGAGTGCATGAGAGTGCATGGGAATGCCTGGAAGTGCATGGGAGTACATGGGAGTGTATGGTAGTGCCTGGGACTATATGGGAGTGTGGGAGTGCTTGGAGTGCATGGGAGTGCATGGGAGTTCAGCCTGGAGAAGAGTCTTCTCCAGGCTGAGAGACTGACAAACTCAAACTATTTCTCCAAGGTTGTCAGACTGATTACATTATCTTCACCTCGTCAATTCTACTGACTATGATCCATTTGGACTGAAGAAACCTACCTCACAGGCTAAATGTTGCAACAATAAACATACCCAGCTGTTGCACATGTATCTTATTTATCACGGTGCCCCGTGGCCTCATAGCTAAAGCTCTCGCTTCACAAGGTGAGTGTCCGGGTTCAATTCCCGGCGGAGGTAGAAACATTGGGCGTATTTCCCGTGTTCCCCATCATCTAAAATGGGTACACTGGTGTGGGTCGCATCCTGGGACAAAACTGACCTAATTTGCCAGTAATGCTCAGCATAACAAGGGGCTTTCTACACAGCAGTATGTTATTGATGTCAGCTATGATCTGTATACCTTGTACATGTACTTGTGGAAATAAAGATATTATTATTATTATTATTATTATTATTATTATTATTATTATTATTATTATTATTATTATTATTATTATTATTATTATTATCATTATCAACATTGATGACACTGACTGACAGTGTTCCTCTCTGTGTGTTTACAGGAGGATGTCACCAGTTACCAGGGTTCACCTTCCACCATCACTAAGGTAAGATATATATTATCTCGTTATATATCTCGAGGTTTTGTCAAATCCTCTATAATGGTTTTACGTGTAAGATTTTTTCTTCTTTAATAAGTTAGTTAATAGGGAATCTTGGTGTGTGTTAAGTGGATTTGTGTGTATTTGATTTTTGTATATGTGTAGATTTGTGCGTGCGTGTGTGCACGGATGTGTGAATGAGGGTGAATTTGTGCGTATGTGAGTGAGAGTGAGTGTTGTGTACGTGGATATGTGTGTTGATGTATGTACGTATAATTATGTATCTGTAATTATAGATAATGAGAGGAGATGAGCTATGGTGAGGGTAGTCACCTATTTGTGCTTGCAGGGGTCGAGTTATAGTTCCTGTCCCCGTCCTGGGTAACTAGATCACACTCCAGTACTTTATGAAAGTCAGCAAGAGAGAGAGAGAAAGAAGAGAGAGAGAGAGAGAGAGAGAGAGAGAGAGAGAGAGAGAGAGAGAGAGAGAGAGAGAGAGAGAGAGAGAGAGAGAGAGAGAGAGAGAGAGAAGAGAGGAGAGAGAGGAGAGAGAGAGAGAGAGAGAGAGAGAGAGAGAGAGAGAGAGAGAGAGAGAGAGAGGACTGGGCTACAGACCAGTGTTCTTGCTCGCCATGTAAGGTACTGGAGAAGGTAATCAGGGAGAGTGATCGACCACTGGCACAAAAGTGGTTTAGGCAACAGTAACCAGCAAGGCTTCACACATGCCAAATATTACTCTACAATTACGTCTGTAATCGTTGTCTCTTGTTCTCCATGTTCTTGCTATTATCAGATCTTCGCTATTTCTTCTTTCTCTACCTTGTATCACTTCACGTGTGGTTATCAACCGTCTTATTTACCTTCGTTGTCATTAAGATGAGTTTTATTTCGTAAATGATGTCATTGTTTTTGTTATTGTTGTTGCAACTGTTGCTGTTGTTGCTATTGTTGTTATTGACTGAGGTTGTCCTCTCCATCTCATCCCCCCTCCCCCTCACCTCCCCCTCCCCCTCACCTCTCCCTCACCCACCCTCCCTCACTCGTATATATAATTTCTTTGTTTTCTTGCTCACAGATGGTAAAGATATCTTTATAAAACGTCTGTTTCTCCTAATTAAGAAGAAGTCATCTCGAGAGATGTTAATTACCAAGTGATAGTCAGTGCAGCTCTGCTAGATGGGCACTTCTGACGCTGTCCTACCTGATGATCCATTACTGGGATACTTGTCAGCTCAGGCTGACACTACTGAAGTCTCCCAGCTCAGGCTGACACTACTGAAGTCTCCCAGCTCAGGCTGACACTACTGAAGTCTCCCAGCTCAGACTGACACTACTGAAGTCTCCCAGCCCTAGCTGACAGTATTGAAGTCTCCCAGCTCAAGCTGACACTACTGAAGTCTCCCAGCTCAGGCTGACACATTTCAACACTATGTATGCGACCCATCCTGTGTGATGGAATATAACAGAAACATAGCTAGCTTGTATTCCCACTGTGTACCTGTCATATAGAATATAACAGAAACATAGCTAGCTTGTGTTCCCACTGTGTACCTGTCATATAGAATATAACAGAAACATAGCTAGCTTGTGTTCCCACTGTGTACCTGTCATATAGAATATAACAGAAACATAGCTAGCTTGTGTTCCCACTGTGTACCTGTCATATAGAATATAACAGAAACATAGCTAACTTGTGTTCCCACTGTGTACCTGTCATATAGAATATAACAGAAACATAGCTAGCTTGTGTTCCCACTGTGTACCTGTCATATAGAATATAACAGAAACATAGCTAGCTTGTGTTACCACTGTGTACCTGTCATATAGAATATAACAGAAACATAGCTAGCTTATGTTCCCACTGTGTACCTGTCATATAGAATAGGAAAGCAGAACTAGCTAGCTTTTTACACTGTGTACTGTCATATAGATATAAGAAACATAGCTATGTTCCATTGTACGTCAATAGATAGGAAAGACACACAGATATTCTGTTTTTCTAAATTTAAAGAAACAGGAGTGACAAGTGAGGCAACCACAACAACCACAAGTGATCTAAATCTGAAGCTATTTGATACACTTGAGCAACTTGTAGGAGGAGGAGGTGGTGGTGGTGGTGGTGGTGGTGGTGATGGTAGTGGTGGTGATTGTAGTAGTGGTGATGGTGGTAGTAGTGGAGGTAGTAGTGATGGTGGTGGTGAGACTATCAATAACTGGAGAACATCTCTCTCTCACCGCATATCAACTCTTCCTTTCCCGTAATCTAACCCTTCCATCCCCCACCTTCTTCCCCTCCTACCTTGCTCTCATGTTCCCCTCCCCCTCCCCTCCATCTTCTCCCCTCTCCCCGAGTCTCTGGATGAATGACAAGAGTCAAATATCGTTACTCATAGAGTCTCGTCTCTTGCAAAAGTGAACCTCAGAGACAAAGTCTCCTGCATAGTTTCTTTATTCACAGTGATTTATCGTATATACAATTGAAGGAAAGACTGAAATTGAATAGTGCCGACCATGAATGTCTGTCCACGCTTATTCAATTTTCGATGTACTTTTTCAATTGAATTCACAGAATATCGCGTATTATAGACGAGAGGTGACTGTACCTTGGCTGCAACAATTCACCAACCAACTCATAAGTTTGTCGGGTGTTTAAGCATCACCAGACACCATACGAGGCACCACACAAGGCACCAGCAGTCAGCAGCAGGCACTAGCAGTCATCAGGAAGCTACACGGGTTGTTGAGTGCCTCTCAGGTAGAACACGAGACGACCCACATCAACCTCACAGTCAGGTGGTGACCAGCTCTGGTCTGCTTGAGGTAGATCTTGTGTCTTGAATGAACCTCAGATAGTGTCACTGTATGCTGCACTCCTCCACTTGTTGCTCATCTTGTTAGATCTCTCTCTCTGTATATACATCCTGAGGCGTATAGCACTCAGTATATATTCACTCTGAGATGTATATCGCTCAGTGTAAATGCATTCTAAGGTATATCTCTCAGTACACATACACCGAGAAATGTGTATGTTTTAGTGTCTTATGGTATATATTCATCCTACTGTATACATACCATAAGAATTTATTTCAATCACTATTTTAGAGATTAAAGTGCCCTAGGTGTCAGTTTACGAGGGAATAACAGTCAAAAATGATCTTCTTGCAGTCGATAGAGTCCAAACTTGACGAACTAACTACTAAAACTGGCTGTACTGAAGTCAGTGTTGACATCTCAGATCTGTTTTAAGCCAGAGCTTAAGACAGACCTGCAACAGAACTGACAGACCCTTCGCATGGACAACACGTTGCCTTATGCAAATCTCCAGCAAATATATACAGCCTGGGTTCAGCAAAGTGTAACAGTGGCAGTAGAGTTTGTCACTACTAGTTGATGTAAGCATAAAGTGGGTTAGTGGTTCCTCTCCAGTGATTGTGACTAAGGTGAGGATCAATGATAGACACACACACTCACACACACAGGATCCATACATAGCTTTAAGAAGAGGTTTAATAAAGCTCATGGAGCAGGGAGAGAGTGACCTATCAGCGACCAGTAAAGAGGCGGGGCCAGGAACTATGACTCGACCCCTGAAACCACAGTTGGGTGAGTAATTAGGTGAGTACACACACACACACCTCCCAGGCAGCTGGAGTAAGAGAGAGAAGACTCTCCCACTATTCAAACAAGGGAATATACATTCCGTATTCAGCGACAGGCTTGTGTACATGTGATGTATATGCTATATGAGGCAACGAAGGAGGCAAATAAGGAATGTGGAGGAGCACCTTGAGAGACAAAGAGACATGATAAACCATCAAGAAGGCTTAAGAGATGGTCAATCTGGTCTCAGAAGTTTCTTAAAATTCTGGAACGGTGGAGAGAGTTGGGTGAATTGTATTTTCCTGCACCGCAACAGAGCTTCCAACACTGTATAACGCAGTGTTGAATGAACTTCAAGAGAGCTTCCAACACTGTATAACGCAGTGTTGAATGAACTTCAAGAGAGCTTCCAACACTGTATAACGCCGTGTTGAATGAACTACAAGAAAGCTTCCAACACTGTATAACGCCGTGTTGAATGAACTACAAGAGAGCTTCCAACACTGTATAACGCAGTGTTGGTGAACTACAAGAGAGCTTCCAACACTGTATAACGCAGTGTTGAATGAACTACAAGAGAGCTTCCAACACTGTATAACGCAGTGTTGGTGAACTACAAGAGAGCTTCCAACACTGTATAACGCAGTGTTGGTGAACTACAAGAGAGCTTCCAACACTGTATAACGCAGTGTTGGTGAACTACAAGAGAGCTTCCAACACTGTATAACGCAGTGTTGAATGAACTTCAAGAGAGCTTCCAACACTGTATAACGCAGTGTTGGTGAACTACAAGAGAGCTTCCAACACTGTATAACGCAGTGTTGGTGAACTACAAGAGAGCTTCCAACACTGTATAACGCAGTGTTGGTGAACTACAAGAGAGCTTCCAACACTGTATAACGCAGTGTTGGTGAACTACAAGAGAGCTTCCAACACTGTATAACGCAGTGTTGAATGAACTTCAAGAGAGCTTCCAACACTGTATAACGCAGTGTTGGTGAACTACAAGAGAGCTTCCAACACTGTATAACGCAGTGTTGAATGAACTTCAAGAGAGCTTCCAACACTGTATAACGCAGTGTTGGTGAACTACAAGAGAGCTTCCAACACTGTATAACGCAGTGTTGAATGAACTTCAAGAGAGCTTCCAACACTGTATAACGCAGTGTTGGTGAACTACAAGAGAGCTTCCAACACTGTATAACGCAGTGTTAGTGAACTACAAAAGAGCTTGTGGCAGAAGAAGTGAGAAATAAGCTTCACCGCGACGAGAGTAATGAGACAGAATAAGATGCAGTAATTATCTGAGAGTAAGTGTAGTGTAAGAAATGGTATCCCTTAGCGATACCTCCTGAGACTAGTGTGACTAGTGGTATCCCTCAGGAATCCCTCCCAGGACTATTACC